AGAGGCTAGGCCATGGAAAAGAAAGTGAAAAAGCTGTTAGCAAATGGGTCAATAAAGGAGGTAGCCTACCTAGATTGGCTATCAAATGTAGTGATGGTGACAAAATTCAATGGGAAGTGGCGCCTCTACGTGGACTTCATAGAGCTCAGCAAAGCCTATCCGAAAGATAGTTATTCTCTCCCATGCATCAATCTCCTTATTGTTGCCACTGCATGACATGAGCTTTTGAGTTTTTTGGATGCTTATACTGGGTATAACCATATTAGCATGTTTCCTCCAAATCAGGAAAAAACGTCCTTCATCACTTCAAAAGAAACCTACTGTTATAGGGTAACGCCTTTCGGACTCAAGAATGCTGGAGCCACATATTAGGGCCTTGTGAACAAGATGTTTGAGGCACAGATCAGGAGGACCATGGAAGTCTACGTGGATGGCATGTTAGTAAAAAGTATGGCTGCAGCAGACTGCGTTACACACTTGTAGAAGACCTTTAACATCCTGAGAATATACATGATGAAGCTAAATCCTGAGAAGTGTGCCTTCGCAAATCCTTCCAGTGGGGACCAGACATAGAAGAGGCCTTTCAAAAGTTAAAGGCTTATCTTGTTACACTCCCTTTACTCTCCCATGTTGTACTAGGAGAAACATTGTACCTATACCTCTCATCCTCCTCCTTTGTTGTGAGCTCCATCCTTGTTAAGGAGGATGAAGGAATCCAAAGGCCTGTGTATTATGTAATTAGGGTGTATCGAGGGGCGGATGTGAGATACTCTGTATTGGAAAAGTTGCCCATCGCATTTGTCACCGCCGCCAGCCTCACCATTAGTTTCAGAGCCATACCATCGTGGTTGTTATAGATCAACCACTCAAGGAAATCTTGGGAAATCCAAACGTGTCTGGTCGACTTCCTAAATGGGTGGTCGAGTTGAGCAAGTTCAACGTTCAGTACCAACTGAGGGCAACCATAAAAGAGCAAACAATTACAGACTTTTGTGGTCGAATCTACATCACCAAAAGGATATCAGGAAGAAATACCATACACTCATGTGCTCACCTGCCCAATACACAACCCCTCAAGTCATAATGATGCAGCCCAAGCACTATCTCTAGAGGGCCTGGCGCCTTGGAACCAACCCCCTAGCCCCTGGAGTCCAGACTCCTAGGCTAGAGGCGCCCAGTTCCCTTGCACCTACTCCTCTAGAGTTCTCAGCTCCCTCACTGCCGATACCCCAGCCTACTGTGCTCTTGTCTAAGTGTCCTTCTATGCCTAAGCAGGCGTCCCTACTGGCACCGTACCATGCTGGAGACTATATGTCGATAGATCCTCTACTAGCAAGGGCAGTGGAGTAGGCTTAGTACTGATTAGCCCCCATGACACTCCAATCAAGTACATTGTCTCCCTCTATTTATTAACAGCAAACAACCAAGTAGAGTATGAGATCCTCATATCAGGTTTGAAGCTTGCAATGGAGATTAAAGCACTCTACCTAATAGCTTATAACGATTCCCAGATGATATTCAATCAAGTGAAGGGAGACTTTGAATTGAAGGAGGAAAAAAATGCAAGAATACCTATTAGTGGTCCAAGCTCTGTTAAAAAGTTTAACCACTTCCAAATCCAGCACGTGCCCGAGAAAAGAATGCTATGGCATATGCTCTTGCCAAGTTCGCATCTGCAAACATACTCATGGTCCCAGCATTGACAGACCACCAATTTGAGCCAAGCAGGCTCAAGGAAGAGGAGGGCGATGTTAACTGTGAATCCTTTGAAGCCAAATTGCATGACACCTATCTAAGCCTCTTAAGAGGAAGGTGCTCTCCCAGCAAACCTAGTGGAAGCCAAAAATTTGAGAGTGAGAGCATCTAGGTATGTCGTCATATGTGATACTCTTTACAAGAAGAGTTATTCACTATTACTACTTTGTTGCCTCACCCTTGAGGAAGCCGATTATGCCATGAGAGAAATATGTGAGGGAATATGTGAAAATCACTCAAGAGGGCAAGCACTAGCTCACAAGGTAGTATGACAAGGCTATGATTGGCCTAACATGATCAGAGACAGCCATAAGTTTGTAAAAAAGTGTGATAAGTGTCAGCGTTTTGCCACTGTGCCTAGACATCCACCAAAAGAGCTCACCACCATCTTGATCCCATGGCCTTTCTCCATGTGGGGGATCGACATCTTAGATCCCTTACTAATGAGTCGGGGCCAATGAAAATTTGTGGTAGTAGTCATTGACTACTTTACAAAGTGGGTAGAAACTGAGTCCTTAGCCAGGATAACGAACCAGAAGGTGAAGGACTTCAAGTGGAAGAGCATAGTTTGCCGTTTCAGAGTACCTCATGCCATAGTAAGTGATAATGCCAAGCAGTTTGACAACAAACTCCTAAATGACTTCAGTGCAGACCTACAAATCAAGCAACCCCACTCCATCCCAACCCATCCACAGGCAAACGGGTAGGCGGAGGTCACCATCAGAATGATCCTCTGTAACTTGAAGACCAGATTGGAGACTGCAAAGGGTCGATGGGTGGCCGAGCTCCCTAGAGTACTATTGGCTTACCGGACAATGCCAAGAAGCCCGACGGGTGAGACCCTTTTTTCCTTGGCCTATGGTATAAATGCAATTGTACTAGTCGAGATTGGGGTACACTCCTTTAGAGTCTAAAACCATGACCCTACCAGTAATGTAGAAGGCCTCCGCATCAACCTTGACTTGGTAGAGGAAGAGAAGGAGATGGTTATGTTCAGGAATGTGGAGTAGAAGTGTCACATGATCAGTAATATAATTCGAGGGTGAAACCTCACTCCTTTTTACTTGGGGACCTAGTCCTCAAAATGGTCATCTAGCCTACGAAGGACTCTTAGGAGGGGAAGTTAGACCCTGATTGGGATGGACCTTACATGGTTACAGAAGTAGTAAGACCAGACACCTACAAAATTCAAAACTCTAAGGGGAAAGCCCTGGCCCATCTATGGAACACGGAACACCTGAAGAGGTATTACCAATAACAGAGGGCAAGTCAAAGAGCTTGCAAGTCACTAACTATCATTTAAATTATCTATTGTTGTTTTAGTCAATTCTTTTTGTTATCTACTTCAAATTATAAAATAAAACTTTACAAGATTATCTTTTTCAAAAATTGTCTCTCATTCTATAGAAATTCATAAATAATTTACAAAAAATAGAACATGACCTAGCAACAAAAAAGAGAAACAAAAAGATAAAAGTGTCATAGTCTTGAGATCACTCACTGCTCCCTAATCCACTCTCATCAAAACTCTCCCCATTATCATTAGTCCCTAGTTCCACATATGGGACGAAGCTAGAAAAGTCAAAGGTAGAAAAAGCTGCTAAGACCTTCGCCTTAAGTTCTTAATAACCATCGATAAAGGTGCCTACAACAGCCCTCTTAGCATCCTCCCTCCTCTTCTCCATCTCCATGGAATGAGCCTTTGCATTGGTAGCTCTCTTAAGAGCTCCTCAAAGTCAACCTCTACCACGACATCCCTCCCCCGAGTTATTTGTAGCTCGGCCTCAACTACAACGGCCCTCTCATGGGACATCTGCAGCTCTATCCCTGCTCTCGCTTAGGCAGTCTCTTTGTCAGCCTCCAGTTGGGTGGCCTTCTCATGGGATGCCAAAAGCTTAGCCTTAAGAGGTGCGGTTCTCTTATGAGCCAGCCTCAACTGTTCCTCAGTAGCCTTTCATGTCTGTCTCTCCTCTCCTAGAGCTATTGATGTCTATCCAAACTTGACAGTCCTCGAAATGAGACAGAGGAAAGTAGTAGCCACCTAAAAGTGTTCAAAAAGCAGGGCATAAGGAAAAGGAGGTGAATACAAAATCAAAGTTATGTAAAAGGCATACCATGGGAAACCCCTCCATTGCGGTATTGATGATGCCCTCTGGATCTCGAGAGCTGACTTATTTGATATTCGTGATCGTCACAAACCCCCAAAGCCACTCCTTAGTCAGATTTATGTCCTACAACATAGCCATTGCTAGAAGTAGGGTAGCTATGTGGGGAATCAACCTAGCTAACAGACCTCGACCGAGAAGTACTAGGGGGCATCAAACTTCGCCCTCTTAGAAGAGGGGAAGATGTCACTCTAGAAGCATAAATAGCCTCCACCGTCGCTCTATCAATAGTGGGACATGCAGAATTGGTTTAAAACGAAGAACCTATAGTTTTACAGTCACCAAAATTGATTGGAATGATCAAATACCTTTCCTCTTTTGCCTATGAGAGGCTATAGGATGACCCGCTGCAGACATAAGGGCCATGAACTCCTTAAAAAAATGATCCCGCATAGCCTGGAGCCTACTCTCTTGCTCTGCAGATAACGTGGGTGAAGCTACAAAGAAACCAAACATGTAGTAAGTACAGGGACATGACAATCAGACATAAAAGCGAAAGTAAAAACCCTTACTTAGCTTGGTCCTCGGAACAGTGTCCCACCTCGAAGGCATTAAATCACGATCTTCTTCAGCCGCCCACTCATCTCCAATGAAGAAGAATCTAGATTTTCAACTATGGCAATTCAAAGGCAGTCCAATATTAAATTTTCCCGACCTCGGGATAAAGCGATACCACCCTTGATGAGGAGTAGGGGTTATCTAGAAGTGTGTACGAGGCCAATAGCTCCTCAAAAGAAGGAGGAACGTTGGCACCAAGGACCAACCATTCGGGATCAGTTTCCTTAGGATGAGTGGTAATTTGCCCACAATTTGATATATGGGTCCAGCTATCAGAAACCTCTAACCAGCCTCTAAGACGTCCTCATAAAAAATAATCTCTCCTAATGAGTCATAACATGCCAGCTCATCCTCCTCGGTCGGTGCCACATAACGGTAGGAGGGACATGGAATGAAGATACAATGCGGGAAATGTCATCATCACAGTCTATAGAACTAAAGATCGAGATTACCTTTGACCCATCATAGTTAACAACCCCTTTGCCTCATTGTGAAGCCTGCCTAACCTTCACCGTACTACCCCTACCATTTCGGGGCACCTGACAAAATAGCAAAAGACAATGAAAATTGAACAGGCATCGAGATTAACAAAAATTTAACAAGGTTAAGTTACCTAGTCCATCAGCTCCAATACCAGCTACTCTAATGGACGCCGCTTCAGCATCTATGCCTGGTCTTCCTGCGTTTGCTCTTAACAGCTCGCCACTACTGCAACCTACAGCGACTGGCGTAGCAGCATCACGTCTCACCAAGGCGTTGGCCTCCCTTCCTTTGGTGTCGCCCGCTGCTCTTACTTCCGCGTCACCTGCTTGGGTTGATCCCGAGGACTTCGCAGCTGACCTAGGTTAGCCCAAACCCTTGGAGGTAGATTATGTGTTGCCCAAGCCTAAGCTGATTTCATTGTCACCCATCGCGCTCATGGCATCGCCCGACCCACTGGTGCCGCCTAGAAACTCGCTGGCGTCACCCAATGCCTGGGCCGGCATGTTGGCACCGCCAAGTACCCCATTGCCATCACTGTTGTTGGCACCGCTAGGTATCTCGTCGCCATCAGCGCCCATCGGGCCTTCGGCATCGCCTGGTCCCATTTCTGAGCCTTCGCTCTGCCCTCTGGGATGGTTGTCCAAGATCTGGGCCTTGTTTTCTTCTCCTTCGTTGTGATTTCCAATGCAGAGCCGCCTAAGAAGCTCCTCTCCATCTGCTCCCTCCTTGCCTCCATATTTGTCTCCTTGAGCTTCACCCAATGGTTTATAGAATGGATGAGGTGGATGGTAATTCTAAAGCCCTAATTCCAAAAGAGATATGATGTATAGGGTGGGGATGCTCTTTAAAGTCTAATAACAATGCCCTATGTGAAAAGGGGTTTTTGTTGTCAAGTTTAACAAGATATCGGGGATGATGGCCAGTGCAATAGTTTTCCAACCATAGTGTTATCAGACAAAGAAGAGGAGCTTCGTGAATGCAAAAGGATGAATGGATGAATCGTGGGGCACAAGATACCTTTCTGCCTTAAATGAGGAAGCTCACTCATGACCTCAATCTCTTGTCATCACAAGGGCTTGGGGCATTGGGGGCAAATGATGAACCCAACTTCAATTGGGTCAAGCCCAATTAATGAGGTAGGCTGAAATCAGCTAAATGGCAGGTCAAGTCTAGCTCGTGGCCTTAACCGTGTCCAAGATTCAAGAGACTCAAGAAGTCAACACGCATGGGGTTACCAAGATAACTACTGCTCGAAGATCAAGGTCATTTTTAATTTTACATATCCTTAGTTGTAGCTATCATCTCCAAAGGATTAGTCACCAATCCCTTCACGCGATCGTCTCAACTAAAGCTCTGTGCCTATAAATTATAAGCTCTCTATACATGAGAGACACACATTTGCATCTCTCATACAACTATTTGTCTCATAACTACCTCATTTCGCCTAGAGCTTGTTCTTGCTCTCTTCCTCTCCCACCTACTACTTTATTAATAAAATTATCTGGCCACCGTCTCCGTCTTCAGTGGTTTGGAGACCTCGGCCCAACCACACAATTTTTATCTTTCTATTATTTATTACTTTATTAATTACCATGTATCATATAATTGACTGTTGATTGTGCATAACTTATTTTTTGCATCATCAGAAAATACAATGGGAAATAGTTGAAGGGAATGACGACTAGCAAAATCAACATTTTCGGCACACTTTAGTGAGCAAGAATTCAGGCACAGGCGTGTTCTCAACGAAAGTGACAGTCAAATGGCAAAATGTAAAGAGTAATGCTATTTTCGGAAAATTGTTAGAAACTCCGTTGAGGTTATGGAATAATAAGTTTGACAATAATCACATAAATAGTAATGGTATTTGAACTTAAAATTTTGATTTAATTTTTTGACATAATAATGTGTTATTAATAGAATCATTGGATTAACATCAAGTTTTAATATTTTAAAAGCGTGTCAATCTAAATGTCATACCAGATTAGGTCAATAAATTAGATCAATAATTTAGGTCCTAATAGCATTACTCTCACATAAAAAGGGAATCAACGTATTGTTAGACAGTACCCACTTGTACACAAATTTTTTATATCAAATATTGTATAGTAATATTATTTAAATTTAATTTATTGGGCTAATGATATCAACACTATTAAATCGGTAATGAGTTCTAAAGAATATTGAAAATTCTCTGTCAATTCAATAGTCATAGTAAGTGATTCGGTCAGTAAATAAAATCAATAAATCAGAGGTAAGAAGCACTGCTCAATTGTGAGATATAATTGATGCGGCAATCGCACACCTGATGAATAAATTAGGTTTAATATCTAAATGGTGCAGAAGTTGCTACAAAATTTGATATCAATTTAGCTGTTGTAGTATTTGGTACAATATGGAGAAAAGATTAGACCTTCCCAGGCTTTCAGTTGCTGGGGAGATGTGCAAAAGTGTTAGCTAGCCTCACATCCATAAGAGTTTTTTTTTTTTGAGGGGCGGGGAGGGAGAATTGAACTCTTGATCTTAAGAAGGGAAAATCTTTAAAAGATAATGAGTACAATTTGACCAAATGCCCATTAGTCGGAAAAGTATTGAGTAGAATTGAAATCACTCAACCTAAAGTACTAATTTTAAAATTTAATTACTTGTACTTGTTAGATCGACAAAAAACCTCATTAAATATTAGGGTTCACAACTCATACTATTATGAATTACACTCCAAGTTAATTCGTTACAGCATTGCTACACCAAAAAAAGAAAAAAAAATTGATATGCATTTGATGGGCACATTACCTACATATTAAATAGGTGAATCAAATTCCAAAGATAGATATAGGCCGACTTTTTCTGTTGTTATAAATAATCAAGACAATCCGAAACAGTGCATCCATAACAAATACTTTTTATTATTTTTTTACAGAAAAACATACAAAAATAGGTAAAAAGATGCCCGAAGTGGGGCATATATACTTTAAACCGCAAGGATTGAAACATCACATACTCATCCTTGCCTTTGACAAATATCGACTCCTCAGCCTATTAATTAAAAGCATTATTAGATAATGAAGAATAGCCCACTAAACAAAGCTTGGCCAGGCTTGTTTGGACTCTCCATGCCCCAACACCAGCTAACCACAAAAATAATTACAAGTAATTATTAACTCAATCTGTTAATGCAATACAAAATTGATGTAAAATTATAGAGCAATAGAATACTCTTAATAGATTCATGTCATATTCAAGCCCTCTCACATTGGCATAATAAATAGATCGATTCGAATTTTCGAAATACAATTCGGACTACTGATAGTCGAGCAACACAATAAATTATAATAGTATAATTGAGTCAATTTTGATACAAACTCAATCCCACCCACCATGCATAGCAACTGAACCCTCTTTCCTATGATATATATATCACATCATTGGTCTACTCATCAAAAATTCTTAAGAAGACTCCTCACAATTTATATCGAATAACAGAAATTTGTGAATGTAAAATAACAATGACAGTCGTAAATGAAGTGATAATGGAACTATGCCGAACCAATCATCCTTGCTTTTGGGAGATTGTGTGCGTGTGCGCCGCCCTCTCCTTCCCGGTATGTGTGTGTGAGAGAGAGATAAAATCAAATACTGGCATATAACATTAAAAAATCTAATGTGCATAAAAGAAGGAAACCATAGAAGTACACACAGCTGTGTTTTTGGGGATACCTTCAACATGGTGGTGTTGGTGGCTGTGGAGGTGGAGGTGGAGGTGGAGGTGGAGGTGGACAGCCTGGTGGCGATGGGGGCACGGGGGAATGTTTGGGATGTCGCCCGAGATTTGCTTTTGGTGGTGGTGGTCGTAGTGGTCTGCGCCTATCCGACACCACCTTCAACTTAGACGACGCATCGTCGGAAGGAACTAGATCTATGACCAACAACGAAATAGCTTGCAGCCTTACCCCTTCAGCAAAATAAGCATTGTCCTTGCAACTATTGTGCAGCAGTTTCAGTTCATGTAGCACCATGAACAGAAGCAGGACTGAAAATACCTTCATTGGCTCAATCTGTTCACAACTATTTGTCCGTGTTTTTATTTTTATTTTTTGAAGCTATCATCATCTAATTATTTAACAAGATACAGAGAGCACAAGAGTCGAGAATTTGGCCGAGTGGTTGAATTTTTGACTTCATGAAGTCGTTGTAGACTTTTCAAAGTGGATATAGGACTTCATGCTGATAGGGTGAACTCGCAACAATTTGAAGAATGAATTTTTCAACCTCTCTTTATACAAATTAATATAGGTGATGTATCAAAATCTATCAATCAAAAATAAAAATAGATAATAAATCAACACAAATAAGACACAAAATTTATATAGTTCTCCCAAACTCGGAGTACCTCTACAAACACTCATTTCAATTTTCCAAGAAGGCTTTTGATATCAATCCAAGAAAGCTTTTGATAAAATAAATTGATCACTATGTAGTTTTCATAATGGGCTATGGAGCCATAATTATGGGTTGGATTGCCCATATGGGCTGGACCCAAACCCAACAATCTCCCCCTCCAGCTCATGTGGAGAACTCAACCAACCCCGCTCTACTTCAACAAATTTCGAGTTTTTTCTTTTGGCAATGTTTTAGTCATTATATTTGAATCATTCTCGTTAGTATAAATCTTTTCAATTTGTAATAACTTCATCTCTTATACATCACGGATCAAATAATATCTGATATCAATATGCTTGGATCTTGAGTGGAAGGTTGGATTTTTGCTTGCTTTAAGACAAAGATATACTCAACCTCTGTGGTAAATAAAGCCACACCTCTATAATTTAGACTATTATTTATTTGACCTGATGTAAATCATACACTCAAGTATAAGTGGTCAAAATGTAATATTTTTCAGTTTAAGTCTAAGGGTGAACCCACGGAGAGCTAATTTTGTACTCAAAACAAAAAAAGGTAAATTTGTCATGTGAGTTTTGAATAATTAAATAGACACTTAATTAAAATTTGAATAACAAAGATTAAAAATACTATTTCATTTGGGGATTCAACATGCATTAAAGTGCTTATTTATGAAAATACCATCTTACAGCAATTAACTCTCATTTTATTGAAAAGTTAACTGGTAGGTTCGATATATAACTGAACCATATCACAACAGCTGGTTAGGTTTGCCGAAAGGTCTATGTATCATATAACTACTATAGCTATTCGATCGATAGGTTGATGATTTAATGATGATGTAGTTCTGATTTATGCATTGAATTAAAAACATTAGTTATGATGAGATTTAACATGTCTATAACCAATCTTCTGACTGTTACATAAAGTCCAATTGCATGCATCATTGAATTACTTATAGATAGAATGGTATATAGTAATAAGATTTGTTCGGTATTCATTACCATGAGCGTATTATAATAATAATCATTCATTAATTAACAGAGGTATAAACATTAATGCATAAATAAAACATCAGCATTTTCATAATTTAAACAGTATTACACATGCATTCACTCTCCATAGAAGAGTATAAACGGACTACTCATGCTTCATTGCTATAGATGTAAAATCTGGGTAAATTTAAACATTTTCACCAAGAATGAAGGATTTCACCAAAGATCCAAAGTGGAGATTTTGGAAAAATCAAGGTTTTTGGGGCTTAGGAGGTATTCTTGAAGGTTCTACCCTTCATTTTACACTTCAAGAGGTAGGGTTCCCTCCTACTTTGGTTTATTTCTAAGTTATGATGTCCATAGGAAATGGTTAGGTGTAAAGAACTTGCCTATTATTATGACAATGAGGAAATGGGTATGGTAATGGCTTAGACCAATTTTTAGTTGAATTTGGTACAAGGAAGTTACTTGTATAATTTCTTGGAACTTTCTATTAAGTGGGCAATTTTGTGTGATAACATGATTGGTGCCTCGAAGGTGTATTGCTAAATGCCGATGTGAGAATTAAGTTGGTTACAACATGAGTTATGTATAACATGCTTGTGAATTATTGTTGAGTATGAATGAGTTGATATATGTTGTTAATACATTAGCATCATGATAATTTGAGGTAATTATATGCTTGAGATATACATTGCCATAAGATATGTTGATATGCAGTTCAATTGCTCATATGACATTCATTAAATATAGGACATGGCATGGATATAACAATGGTGTATTACATTGCATTTTCATGGAAGCATCACAACCAAAAGCATGAGACATGGGTATGGGTATGGGTGTGTGCATGGTCTAATCAAACACTATACTTGGTAGTTGATGGGTGGGCTCGAAAAAGTTGGATTGAAAATTCAACTGAGTCGTACGGTTGCACAAAAAAATTGTGTTGGGTATAGAAAGTAAGGCTAGACTCTCCCTTGGGTGAAAACCCCGGCTACTTGGTTCATACACTCCACTGAGGTGAAATTCTAGAAAGTGTAATGGTGTACGAAGCCAACGTTGTGATTCCAAAATCCGATACCCAACAAAGACATATGATTTTATTCTATAAAATGGTCATTTGATGTGTAGCATCTAGCAATGATATGATTTTATAAACACATGACTTTTATTTCAAAATGATCATTTGGTGTAATTCATCAATGATAGATTTATCATACATTGACATTGTATTGTGTGGTGGGAGTCAGTAAGGACTCGGGTTCAAGTGCATGAGTGAGTCTCATCTCATTTCATGCCATGACATTGTAGAATTTTAACATTGAATGACATATTCTTGTTTGGAATGGAAAATAATTGCTAATTATTGCATGTGCACATTTCATATGCATCTAGGGGAGAATAGCCTCTGTAGGAGATACTCTATTAAGCGTAGCTCACCCTATGAGGAAAAATATTTCAGGTGTAGGATACACTCCAGCGGATGACTCTCATTTGAGGCCCCAGTAATGAAGAAAGGCCGACTTGTGGCTTTGAATTTTTTTTTTTTTGTAAAACTATTGTGAAAATTATGTTTTGAGTATGTAACTGTATGAAATTGCTGTAATAGAACTTGTATATATTAGATTTTATTTGAAAAACCTTATTAAGCATGTTTGGATGGTGTTGGAAGGGATTGAAATGGATTGAAAATTGAAAATAGGTGAAACAGACAAAATTGGACAAAGCCTACCGGTATAACTTTGTCCAGTAGGCAAACCCTACCGGTAGGACTTTTCCGATGGACTCAACTTGCCAGTAGGTCTTCCAAAATTTTGAAATTTTAAAATTGAATTGCTATTCTTTTGGACTTTAAGTTCTTTGGTTCCAAGGATATAAATGATCAAAAAATAAAGATAATTTGTGGTATATTGGAACCGGTTAGGTCAAATGGCAAAATATGCGTGTGTTATACGTGTGGGTAATGAACTCGGTTAAAGGGATTTTATTGATGTAGCGACAATCACGGATATTTTCGCGGGTTGACGAGTGATCAACGGTAAACAAAGGACCCCCGATTTTAGGAGTGTCATAGCTTGGTATTAGGGCATAGGTATACGATTTACCTAGGGCTGATGGGCATGAGTTTAGACGATTACATTCATTATGCATTTTATGTTATGTGCTTTAAATGCTACGTTTTATGGGCTATGTGTTATGTGGATTATATGCATGAAAAACTGTATATGGAAAGAAGAGACACTAGGGTTAGAAAACATAAACTTGGGGGTCGAAAAACAAAGGAACATGATAGTTCAAGGTGTAAATATCTACTAGTGATGGCATATGCTCTACTAGAGAGACAAGGAGAGAAATCTCAAAGTTTAAATTAGGTCCCTATTTTGGGATACTAAGTGAGGCTCTATTGTTGTCTAAAATGTGTGTAGATGGAAAATAGGGAAAGAAGACGCTGAGGCGGTGGGCTGAACAATGATCAACCACCATCGACCTTTCACCAACAAACCTTCATGGAGACTATTAGTGCTACAGCTACTACGATTGCACAGGCTAGTGCAAGTGCCGATCAAGGAGGCTCAAGTAACCTCCAAAAGTTTAAGGTGCACAAGCCTCCTATATTCAAGGGAGGGGCAGATCCGATGGTGGCCGACCATTGGTTTCGGCAAGTTGGCAAGATTTTAGAGGCAATGAAGATCACCTCCGATGCCACGAGGATAAGACTAGCTATATTCTAGCTAGAGGGAGAAGCCCAACTATGGTGGGATTGGGTAAAGGACTCCAAGAATTTGGAGACAATGACATGGGGCGAGTTCTGGGAACTCTTCATGGGCAAGTACTTCCTCGTGGCTGTTCCATAGGCGAACACCCAGGAATTCTTAGATTTGAGGCAAGGGACAATGATGGTGTCGAAATACGTGGCTAAGTTCATTGAGTTAGCCCGTTTCACCGATGACTATTTGGCCACAGACATGACCAAGGTGAGGAAGTTTGAGGAGGGTCTAAAATTGTCCATCCGGGGTAAAATTATGGGCCACTACCTACAAAACTTAGATTTAATGGTCACGACAGCTATGGCCATTGAGAGAGAAGTTGAGGACGAATGGAACATCTGGGAAATGGGTGCTAAAGACAAAAAGAATGAGGGTCAATCCTCTTTTTCTAGCTCGGGAAAGAGATAGAGGACTTTTACTCCACAGGGATAGGGTCTTGGCTATTAGGGCCAAGGCCAATCCTCCTAAGGAGGGAGAAATCAGAGGCCTTCCCATCAAGTAGGTCAGAGGACTTGCTATAATTGTCACCAGCTAGGTCACATGAAGAGGGATTGCCCTTAGAGGTAAGGATCCCAGAGTTATGGGGCGTCTCAGTCCCAGTCATCCGTGGGGCAGCCATGGATGTACTTTGTTCCTCCCTACCCCACCATGGGCCAGGGAAGCCAATACAGTTCCAGGGTACTACACAGTCCCCTACCATTTCACGAACGGGGACTCCACAATCAAGCCAGATGGGTTAGGGCATGGGTCGAGGGCGAGGACAAGCCTTGCAAGCCAGGACTTCGAGGACCCAAGGGCGTGTCTACACCATCACACCTCCGACTGAGCCAGTGGATCAGTCGGTCATATAGGGTATATTTTTACTCTCTCCCTTATAGGAAAAAATATTATTTGACTCTGGTGCATCTCAT